TTTAACTCACATTCACACCTACCCCACATCCACACCCACCTACACCCTAATATGTAGAAAAAAAACAAACATACCAATTAATAGAATCAAATACACACGTGTACTAATCTTCTGTCGTTTTATATTATTTTCTGTTCGTTGATCAGGCTCCTTAAACAGATTCAATCGTTTCATAGTTTGACCCAATTTGCGTATATGTATCATAGAAGGTGCTAGAAATAATATAAATGATGGGACTAGTTTCATTAGATTCAAACAAATACCGTGAAAAACATTTCTGTATTTTGACTGACATTTTAGCCAGATATTGATTAAAAATGGTGCAATCAGACGAAGTATAATTGTGAGACCTCCATAAAGACTAATGAATAATGTAATTGCAGAATAAAAATTAGTGTGATCTTTTGTAATGTATGTGCACAATGAAGCATTACATTGATCAAAATAGTTTGAATAGTTCATTTTTGTTGACCATTCTTCGATGAAAAGATCCTTCATATAATCGTTCACAGAATGCTTTTCTTGCTTTGACGATAGAACAGAATTAGTCCATTTAGTTTGCATCTAAATAAAAAAAGAATATATCACAAATGATAAGTTAGTGTCATGCATACTTGACTTATAGCTGGAAAATAGTTCATCAAAAACCGAAGGCATTCAACAGTATATAAACAATCGAGTGTACTTTGAAGAATAGCTTCAAGAGGAGTGCAAGCAGTATAAAATCCACTAACAAGTGTAGCATTCGGTCTAGGTCGAGTCCATGTTGAACGATCATAATATTTTTCCACATGTGAAGTTTCTGAAAAACTCACAGTAGTTGCTGGATTTTTATTGCTACACCCCATTGATTGCTCATTCAAAGAAGCATCGTTAGATTTGTCAGAATATTTTGTTTCTCCACTTATCAGTTTGTTGGTAGGATCCATAGTTTGAATAATCTTAAAGTTAGTATTGGCAATCAGATAATTTGTATTGAGAGCCGAGATTAAATAATCTGCTTGATTAGTAGTTCTAACATAGTTTAAGAATGAGATAATTCGACTAGATGCACTGTTCTTGAAGAATTCAATTGTACCATTCACTTTATCTTCAACTTGCTTTTGAGATAGAAGATAATTGTTGATAAACTCATTATTATCAAGATCAAACAGATTTTGAGAGACTAAATCTTGAGAAAGTGAACAAAGACTTGTCAGAATTTTGAACTAAATGAAAAAGAAGACAGATATAAAACAATCATCTCCAAAAATCTTGAGGGTGGGTGTGGGTGTTGGGTAACTGTATGTATTCTTCTCATTCATCGTCGACACCCACCCTCAAGATAAATAGTAACGTTGCTTTCAGAGGAAATGTTAACTTACCTGAGAACTAGCTGTTGTTCGAAAATCATCCGTTCCATATCTGCTTGCATTTTCTAAATGCAGTGCTTCAATCCATTCTTTGCTGATGAAAATACTTTCACAGACAGGATGATGTGTAATTGTATTGGAAACAAAAAGTTTAAGTGGCACTGTAATCGTCGAACATGGACATGAAAGAGTTTTAGCATGATCACGATACAGCTGTTCGAAAACAACAGGTGTGACATCGAATACAGTGATCTTTCGATCTTCTGGTTTCATGAAGGCAGTGTAAAGAAGAATATAACAAGACACTAGAAAGAAAAATCATTAAATATTTCATACATTTTCTTATTTAAAGTTCTTCTAGAAAAACTGAGTGAGACTTTATCAGTAGTGTCGAAATCGTTGATTCGTTCATAGAATGGTGTATTATATTTCGATCTGAATTTCGAGAAAAAAAAGAGACTATATTTCAAATTGAAAGTAGGTGTGGGTGAAAAGGATAGTAACCGCACTTATCACACACACACCTACACTCTCACCCACACCTTTAAACAATTTAGTTCT